CCCATGAAAGAAAAATCCAATATAGCTGATGATATGGCCAAATACTGGACAAGTCAGCTAACTTGAATTATACTTGACTGCATTTGGTCCTCACAAAGACACAAATAATACGAGTCAGTTTTGTTCTGGGGGTCCTTGAGCATGGTTCTGAATTGGACTGGGGTCCGGTACGCCAAAAGGTTGAGATTCATTGCATTAGGCCACGAGGCCGGTTGGTGTTAAAGCAGCACTATAAACAGAACTGCACACATCCCGCGGAAGAACATTCCAACCGGAGCTACTTCTCTAAGTTTATGTCTATGGCGATTCACGCAGGTATGTGTTACTCCGCAGCGGTGACGACCTGACCAGGCTACAATAGTCCAAATATAAATACTTATTATAAGTGTACCGTAGAGATTCGGAATAAGACAAAAACGCGGTTTGGAAGATTAATTCATGATGTACTCGCTCGTTATACCTATACATTTTGCAAATTTTGAACACAGAAAAAGTTACATAGTGCTGCTTTAAGCACTTGTTTAGCACTTTGATTATTACACCCACATCTTCACAGACCGCAATGCATTTCAGTCTTGTAATTGAATCAACACAAACTCTGAAAAAAATCATAGGTGCGTAGGAAAAAAGGTCCAACAAAACTGTCAAGTCCAAAATATAAAGATGCAATCCCGCACACTATCAATTCTTGCTAAATATTGCAGTTTATTTAGGTATGTAACAACGTTTATGCCTGATGAAGGTCAGTGGACCGAAACGTTGCTTTTGTTAATAAACTTCAATATTTAGCAAGAGTTAATAGTGTGCGGGATTGCATATTTATATTTTGGACTTGACAGTTTTGTAATTGAAAAAAAAAAAGAGAAAAAAAAAAAAGAAAAAAAGTTGGGTTTTGAAAAGAATATCAAAACCCAGCCTTTTCTTTTTTTTTTTATTGAAGTACAAAATCTTACAGACATTCACTGTATCATATAAAGCATTCAAAAAGCATTTACAAAATAAAGTAAACAAAATAAAGAAGTGCAAGAACATACAGCACCTAATCATCTCCATCTTCAGCACTTCCGGCTGTATGTAAACAAATTTACATATGCATCGTTACGTAAATGAGCAATGCAATATTTTCAGTGAACGGCGAGTTAAAGCTATAGCTATTATAGCTATAGTTAAAGTTAAAGCTACAGCTATTATAGCTATAGAAGACATGGAATATCGCGCAGAAATAGGAACACTTGAATGATTTTTGCAATATTTTACAGTAGGCTATATTCGCATTGTCATTATATGCCAACGAGCAGGGGTGTGAAGTAACGAATTACAAATACTCACGTTACAGTAATTAAGTAGTTTTTATCAGTAATTGTGCTTTTTTGAGTAGTTTAAGTGATGTATCGGTACTTTTACTCCGCTATTTTCCTCCGTTTGTGGTCAATACATGCTTATTTACATTTTATATTTATCCATCAACGTGATTGGATAGAGAGATAGTAATAGGTCTCGTGACTTTCGTCAAATCAAATTGTGCATAGAAAACTTTAACCGCCAACTGTTTATCATGGCTGCTGGAAGTGCATTCTTCAAGCATCAATTCAGTCGCATCTTCCTCTAATTTACTTTCAATACTTTTTCTTACCGTTAATAAACTTTTTTTTTTTAAATCCATTTTATACAATCCGCCTTCATTTAGCAAGTGCACTCGCGCATAAACAATTTTCGAGTTCAACACTTTTTGTTCCATTCAGTTGTGGATGCTGCTGATTCACCGAGACCGCCGCGGCTCAGCAAAGAGACGTGTGTGTGTGTGTGTGTGTGTGTGTGTGT